GATGTGATGGTGTGGAGCAGTCGACGGTTGTCTACCGCAGGTTTCCGTGGACGCACATGTGCCCCGATAGACCCATGCGGTGAGAAAATGTGCGAGTGCAATGTGGACAGTGGAGGCAGATGCGGCAAGTGTAGGTTGGTGCGCCAGTGCCCAACAGTTTCTAAAACCAAAATCGGATTGGCTAATGTCACAATCGTCTGTATGAATATTTCCAACCGCGACGGACGTACTTTGTCTCCGTTTCTCAACTGCTCTGTCATTCAGGCAAATTACTAATTAGCCTGTAATCTTGCTGGCCATAGCAAAAAAGTCGAAAATGGCCATTTCAGTCTCGCGCGTCTTTTTAGACAAACCTTTTCGATTTTTGATTGCCATAATACTTCGAAATCGCCCCCAAGTACACTAGAACTGGACTCCAGGACCAAGCGTCAGCATTCCTTCCTGCAATCACACCGTTTCGATGGACGCCATTTACTCACCTATAGTGTGTATTCAATCAGTTATAGAGCCTGTTTCACAACTCAGATAAGGGGTAATGATGGATAAGGGTAATGATGGCACAAGGAGTTCAGTATTATAACACCTGGCTGCCATGGGACCATATACGTACTGTGGTTAACAACTCTCGCAATCACCGCTGGGGTCGTAATTGATGCGATGGTGGCTTGTCAGTCCGCGTCCGAGTCGTTACTGCCTGCGATTTCGTCATCCGAGTTGGATGCTGGTGGGACAATTGCTCGGCAAATTGCGAGCTGGACGAACGAACCCGCGAACATAGAGCGACACGCAAAGCTACCCTAGAGAGCAATTTCCGTAATCTGCCTGCTCCAATGTCACCAAAAAACGACAAACTGGTGCACAACGTGTCGTCAAAGGAGCTGACAGAGGAACAAGTGCAGGTGTTACGCCATGAGGCCTCATTTAACACAGCCGATGCCAAACCTGCCAACATGACTGCAGCAGTGGAATCAATCCTCAGCCAGACGGGAGCGACAGACGAAAGGAAGAACCTTATTCGACACCAAGTGTCATCCCTACTCATGGCCAATTGGCCGCGCAACGTGCTGTCCAGGGTAGAGAGCGATGCACTTAAGGAACTCGGGGTCGACAACGACATTGTTATCGTGCCTGCGCGCAAGGGGGATTCGGCAAAGAGGCCGTTTATGATAGTCCAGAGAGATTCTCGTGACAGCGTGCAATCAGTGTATGTGGAATCATTTCCCATATTTCTGCCAGTTTGTTACTGACTCTTTTTTGCTTCTCTAGACTGCAGGGAACGTGGAAGTAAAGAAATAAGGGCAAGTACGTAAGTAAGTCATGACGAATGGTTCTCGCATTGGTCCATTATCAAAAACGTGTGTCATTCTTCTTTGCCAAATTTGCTACGAGCGAATGTTAGGTTGGCATAAATCAGGCAGCAGCGGAAACAATGACTTCCTGCTGCATGCATGCACACAACATGGTAGTTCGACCGTCGTTTTCGACTATGTCCACCGTGTGCCACAGAGCATGATGAAGCAGGCATTGTGACTTGCGCGTGAATTAGTTTATTGTGGCGGCAGACTTGCGCAGCACCTGTCGCACACTCCCCTACTACTCCCTAATTGGACAGGTTGTCAAGACAGAGTTAAAAAGATCGGAAGCAGGGCAGGGCGCAGATGGATGGCACGGTCGAGCCTGCATCTTGGCGTTCCACTGGGCACCCCCTGGTCCACGATACGAATGACCAGGATTTTAACCGATAACAATGATAGAGGGCGCGCAGGGGTCCAGTGTGTGCAACGACTGCCAACAGCTGGGTCTGCAACCGCACCCCCCAATGCCGGCAATTACTAGAGTGCGCATCCCGATAATGCATGCCAGGATCCCATATGATCCCCGTGAGGATCAAGCGGAGCACTTCTGCGGGAAAGCGCCCGAATTGGGCGCGATCCCTGCTGAGATCTACAAAAACGCTGGCCCCCAACTCATAGATCACCTGACAGCACCCTCCAGGTGATGTGACGTCAAGGAGAAGTCCCGCAGAATTTCAAGGACGTCACATTCGTCCACTCCTACAAGCGGAAAGGGAACCGTCAAATCTGCGACAACCACGGGGGCATTTCCCTGCTGAACATCGCTGGGAAGACCATTGCTCGCCTACTCCTCAACCTCCTGAACAACCATCTGCAACAGGGTCTCCTGCCGATAAGCCAGTGCAGCTTCCGCCGTCATCGTGGGACCACGGACATGATCTTCGCTGCTCGCCGACTGCAGTAGAAGTGTCAGGAGATGCGAACCCGCCTGTACTCTACCTTTGGAGATCTGAAGAAAGCCTTCAATACAGGGAATCGTGAAGTACTGTGGAAAATCACGCTGAAATTCGGCTGTCCTAAATGGTTCACTCAGATGGTGCGTCAGCTCCACAACGGCATGATGGCGCAAGTCACGGACAATAGGGCCGTCTCAGAGGCATTCGCAATGACCAACGGAGTGAAGCAGGGCTGCGTTCTCGCGCCTACACTCTTCAGTCTCATGTTCTCTGCCATGCTGGTGGACGCCTATCATGACGAACGCCCTGGGATCCGCATCGCCTACAGGACGGACGGCTAACTCCCCAACCACCGACGGATGCACTTCCAGTCGCATGTATCTCCAACCCCCGTCCACAAACGTCTCTTCGCCGATGACTGCGGCCTCAATATAAATACTGAACGAGGCAAGCAAATGAGCATGGATTTCATCTCCATCACCTGCGTTAACTTCGGTCTGATCATCAACACGGAGAAGACGGTGGTCATACATCAACTGCCACCCAACACAGTCCCACCCCACAATGCGCCGCAAACCAGCGTGGACGGAACACAACTGCAAGTGGTGGACAACTTCACCTACCTGGGCAGCACCAAAATCGACGGTGAAGTGACCCGCTGGATTTTCAAGGCCAGTCAAGCCTTATGTTGTCTTCAAAACACAGTTTGGAATTGTCACGGTCTTCAACTCAGCACGAAACTGAAGATGTGCAAGGCCGTCATCCTACCGACGTTGATGTATGGAGCAGAGACCTGCTCGGTGTACATGAAGCGGGCACGTATACT